TGACAGTAGGTACGATCCGACCGAGTTACAGCAATCGAATGAGACGAACTAACAGGGGCTACAGGCCGGTAACGCCACGTCATCAGATAGCACGGTTGCCAACCCTACAAACAGCCGTAAAACTTACGACACAAAAATAAATTTAAGTAACCGAAATCAAAACGGGTGAATTTCCCTTACAGTGAAATTTAATATTCAGTCAGATAATTATTTTGATTTTAAGTCTAAATTTCAAATAAACTGGCCCCGGTATCTTTCCTACGCAAAAGACTAAAGATTAGGCTAGAAAAATATACTGACTAGAAGTGGTGCAGGTATTGTAATGCTATAAACTCCAGGTATAAAGAATATTTATCAATCGAAAGTATTAAAGTGAAAATTATTAGGATTTTTTTTTGTAATACTCAATTATTCAGATTATTTTCATTCATAGCAAATTGTTTAAGGCATGATTATCACGCTCATATTTTGTAGAAGGTGACCTTTGCGTTTTTTGGGGTTCTGCACCTGTGTGCAATAGTATCGCGTCGTTTATAGTTTTTCAAAAACGGAGAGATACGATCGGGAGAAGTCAGATAGCACCGGAGAGTCAGAGACAGAGGAAACCATCAGTCGTAACTCGTAAGAGGTTACAAGAGTTTTCAGGCTTAATTATCACTATTTCGTCTAAACGATTAAGCTCGTATTAAGCCTGGTGAACGTGAAAAGTATCCAACCAATGTATTTGTGTCTACGCAACCCCGCCATTGTGACTGTGATACTTTTGACCCAAGTTTTGCCCGCTGATCAAAGATACCTTAGAGTCATCGTGGTGACTTGTCGTGAACTACGAGTGATTTTGTAATTTCGTTGGTGTTGTACAGTATTCTAGCGAAGTAAGATTTTCTGATCACCTTTGTGTCTGGAACTAACAGTGCAACCTCGATCAACAACCTTGATCATTACTGTCCACCGGCTGAACCCATCCACCCAATCATCATCTATTGTTATTATTTATCTGCCTGGGTATCAATTAAAAATGTTCTTTAATGACATTCGCGGGCCAGTTCATAATCCTCCAGAAGGTTAAGCTCACAGACGGATATTCCTGACAGTGCCGGACTCTTCAACCAGTGACGTCGTCGAGACGCAATAGGTGCGTCACATGGGTACGCCTTCTTACAATAGTTGTCTGTGACATTGTCAAGCTCTTTTGTAAAGTTTACAGTTTATAATATCGGTTAATGGATTAATTAACCTGTAAATAAATGATTCGTGTTAATGAAGAATAATGCGTGTTTTCTGCCAATTTTTTCCATTAAAATATTAATTTCAGATTTTTTCATTGTGCACCTCATACGTATTACTAGCAATTTACAACGTAGGTAATGTATAGTAGACTCCCGATCATGGTCAGTACATGCTAGTGGTTCCCGCTAGAGTATTTCACGCCTGACATTTCAAAATAATGGAGTACTATCAATTTCTTATTTCATGTAAGGATCATCTTGGTGAAAATATATTGTCAAAATTGGTGTAATGTTCACATTATGAAACTGTGATACTTTTTAAGCTTTTTCCCGTAGCCTTTACTCTGACCTGAACCACCGTTCGCAATGGATAAATGAATTCCTTTCAGCGGCTGTTTACTCAAATGTAGCAGCATGTTCAAATAAAATTGTTGATGGAACCATCTAATCATCACGGTGGTAGCATTAATTTCCATCATTTGATGAAATTAATATTTGCAATACTTCTATTGACGATCGAGCGATAAAATCCATAATGTACGGTCAACATTGATAAAGTAAATTTCCATAAAAACCACAAGAAAAATTTCCTTTTCTCTATTAAAAAACATAAGGAAAACAAAAAATTATTTTCCTATTCAAGTGCACCACAAATCTCATACGTGTGGATACGTAAGACATGGATGGAATAAATTTTTCAAATGAATCAAGTCTTGATTCGTGTAGTCTCTCTTACTCTTTAGTGCTCTGTAATTGGTTAGTAGAGCGGTTGCTGCAGTCTTCCGTTGACGTACGTCGCTAGCACTGGTTGCAAAGCGACGCATTGAGTGGTTAGCTTGCGAGTCACGCAGCGGTTCGTAGTTCCTGCCTTGACAGTCACTACGCAGCGGCGCGTGGATCGTGGCTTGCAAGTAACTACGCAGCGGTGCGTAATATGTGTTCAGATATTGTTAACAAGCATAGTATTCATTATAACTGTTGAACGTTTCTTAGCATTCCTTACTCCTCACTATTAGTTAACTCGTGACCGTCGCGATGTGAGGGGTTAGAGCTTATACGCCACGTGCTGTACCTGCCTTCTCGTTGTGTTGCGGTGTTCGATTCATGATCTCACCCGGTGTAAAAATAGTCAAAGTTTATTTATTTCTGCAAATTATTCTAGTCATGAAATTTATCTTTGACCGCACATGTGCAAATAAAACGGTTACAATTTATAATAAAAATGTTGGAACATTTTCTATCAATGAATTTCGGTTGCGTAAACGTACTTCGTGTTTTTCTCCAAACCTATAGTAGGTCTATTAATCTCGCCCAATCGACGGAACAGGGACTTGAAATTTCAACTCTGCCACAAAACTTGGGAACTCGTAGCACCACAAATAGTAAACATCCACCGTTTACACAATTATTTTGTAGTTATTTCACAGATTTTTATTAATTAACCTGTCGAACGATACTTTTTAATATCAATGTTGTGTTCAAGTGATGTGACTGAGCCTTCACTCTGGATGGTTTCTAATTAGATTAATGCATGAAAGTTAGTGAGACGCTTGGAGTATTTTTAAATAACCAATAAAAAATCATTTAGCTAGTGCTAAAAAACCTCGCCGCCTAACATAGAACTTCTGATGACATTTTTTTCATTTATCATAGGTTAGTTTAATATAAAATTCTTAATAATCCAGTGAGATTCGGCGTCTGACTTGCTTTATGTGTACGAAGTCATTATAAATAAAAATTAGTTGTCATGAAATAACAATAAATGGTTCATTTGAAACCAAATAAGAATATGCTGTTTATTCACAACAGTAAAGGGAAGTTATAAATATGGCTTTCATCACAATGAACTTATTTTTGTCTTAATATTACTTTTAGTTATTATTGATGAGGCCCAGAATAGATTCCGCTATGACTACTGTTAATGCGCGGTGCTTTATTGAAAATCTTGCGTAAAAACTTGTAAGTGAAATTTTAATAATCTTTTAAGAAATAAACCTCAGATCTTACAACGTTGTTAGTAGAAATTTCTGTTTTTGTGTCCACTGTAAGCCATGGGTATAGAAAATATATCCATAGTTCCTGAACCTCATAAGCAGGTGTACTTCCCAGGCCAGGAAGTCAAGGGATATGTGCTGGTGGTATGTTCATCAGCTACCCGGTGCAGAGGTCAGGGTAACAAGTGAATAAATACCATTTGATTGCTTATATAATACATCATTTATTGTCATTATGTGCGATGAAGGATTCAAAACCTCATTCCGAAAACGTCCTTATAAGGCCGTGTGTAACAGCTTTACGGCCACGTTAAACTTCTCGCCAGGTTACTCGTACAATTTAAATGAAATGCTATGCCTGGTGTCTTTTTTATCTGACTCATGGAAGTGCGATTCGATGGATTAACCCTACTATGTAATAATTAGAGAAATGTTCTAGCTGAGGCGTTGATAGGTGATTGGAAAATCCTGAAATTATTACAAAATAAATAATTTTCTATATGTAATATGAATAATATAATATATGATAGCTCATTATAATAAACAAATAATAGCTCATTAAATTATTATGTTGTCTTTTGATGGTGCAGCCGTCGACATCAACTTCAGTGGGAACGCCAGAGTTTCGTGGGCGGAGGGCGGTGGTGAACATACAGTGCGCTACGAGGCATCGGAACCATACTTCAATTTCAGGACAAACCTCTTTGTTCCTGACTGTGAGTTTCCGAGGTTTGAGCGAATTTATTATGCTAAATTAGTAAATCAAACGATTATTCATAATATAAGAGAAACTGATAAAAAGCGTTAACTGAAAAGAAAATTTAACTATAATTTTAATACGTCTGAAATTTAGATATTAATGATTAACGCTGCTCGACGATAAAGGCACCTGAAATCTGTGAGTTACCGAAAAATTCTCTTCAGCACCATGTAGATATGGAAGCTATAAACGTTTAGATTTTAAAAGACTATACCGACGTTGGTCATCAACCGGAAGTACGCGCAACAGTACGTAAGCTGAGACCGGAAGTGCGCGCCGAAATATATTATTCATAGCCAATTAGAATCGTTTGAATAGTGTGTCTTCAAACACAGAAACGTCGATTTCATGCGCAAGCGCGTCGTCACCAAAATCATATGTAATTTGAATGTTGCTTTTGACGACTGTATGCGGCAAAATAGAGATCTCATACCGCAATATAGTGTAACCCAATGCAATTCTCAAGATTATTTCATAAGATTCTTATTATTTACACCAATAAACGAGCCTAAGCACGCATTTACGTTGCAGTTCCTCAATTCAGAAATTACCTCCTAGATACCATCGTCGGGCATGCACATATGCATGCCTGCCCTCAAGCTCGCGCAGGCGCAGTGTAGCTGCATGCACCTGCGCGGTCGCAGGGCCGGCCAATAATGCCTGTTACCATCGAGCATCACGACGGTTGCGGTACCGCGGCACCGAATTAATTACCCACCGGATTGGGAAGCATCAAACCTCAAGGCCGAGCAAAGAAATGTACATTTATGTATCAATAGATTTATGCAAGTTTGATTGAAGACCAGAGCATGTTTTTTATGAACAATTTTTTTCGATGTGTCGAACTAAAATTCTCGAATGCGATGCCGAACGCAGTTGCTCTTGCATTTTGCTGCAACCCGTCTACGAGCAGTCGAGCTACCGCTCAACTTACGAAAGCTATATGGAGCTGCATGTGTAGTAGATATCTATTGATATATTGGTGTAGTTGGGCAAAAGTTCTTCATTTATGCAAGTTTGATTGAAGACCAGAGCATGCTTTTTATTATCAGATTTTCGTATTTGTTTATCGATGAGTCCAAAGAAATTTATTGATGGGAGATCAAAAAGCAGGTTACCAAAAGCAGGTTACTATAAATTGCCGGGAGTTCAAAAAGCAGATTACCAAATGACATATTAGAATGACAATTCTAAATGAAATGTCTAAATTAGACATTCTATTGTCAATTGACAATAGAATACAACTTTCCGGGTATTCATATTCAAGCAATTGAAGGTTTTACATCACTAAAGTTTGAAATTTTCAAGTGAAATCAGTACACACAATGGTATAAATATCGATTTTAAACAGTATCTACGATACTTTCTGTATGAAAGTATCTTGTCATGTCCAAATTTCAATTTTAAGCGTTTTAATAACTCTTCACTTGCTTGATCATGAATATTGATATATTCGAAACGTCGCATTACAGTAAAATGTCATTTGGTAATCTACTTTTTGATCTCTAAGCACCTGCAAGAAATTTCGTTCGGTTTATCGAAAAAAACAATCAATAAGAAATTTGTTAATAAAAAGTACGCCCTGGTCTTCAATCAAATCTGTGTACATGAAAAACTTATGCCTAACTACACTAACAATGGGCATCGTGGATACTGATCGAAATGAAACTTGAGATTACTCTGAAAACAATTTTAACGTCCTGACAAAACCCGGTGGCTTGTAACTGATAGCAGGTGACTCGCCCTTGATAATGAGGGCCATGCACGGCTATCGCCAGACTTGAAGTGTAGTTCGGGATACCTACCGCATGAAGATGCTGGCGCAGGCTTCCAATGTCGTGCGAGTGATGGTCCAGCTGTGGGCCTCTTTCATGGTTTTTGACCCTCTATATCAGTGGTTTTCAAAGTGGGCTGTACCGCACCTCTGGGCGCGGTGGGAGGATCTGGGACCGGAAGAAAGGGGCGGCAGTCCGAAGTCGAAGTCAGAAGTTCCATCGTTTGTTTGACGATTTGTACACATTACGTTCAGCACATGACTCCCAGTGTTGGGTTTTTCCACCCATATCTGTTTTTTTTAATCTCTCCTGGGTTTACGTCTCAGACAAATTTACGGCCGGACACGCGGCCGGTCTCACGGCCAATTTAAAAAATTCAATGATCAAGGAATATCTCCCAAACTATTGAACGTAACTCGATGAATCTTGGTACATATGTTCATTAGGACCAAATGGTGATGTTTAACTTGTGATAATTTTTTTAAATTCGCCTCCATTCGTGAGTTATATGGCGATACAGGCTGAAATTCGCTGTGATCAAGAAATTTCTTCTAAACTACTGAACGGATTTGAACGAAACTTAGTATATAAATACCTAACCTTCCAACGGTGATGTTTAGCTCGTGACAAGTTTTTTCGATTTTGCCTTCGTTTGCGAGTTATACGTATACGGTTCTTGGTTACACCGGCGGTCGATATGCCGGTCGTTACTCCGTATATCCGTATAACTCACGAACGAAGGCAAAATGGAAAAAAATTGTCACGAGCTAAACATCACCGTTGGGAGGTTAGGTAATTATGTACAAAGTTTCGTTCAAATCTGTTCAGTTGTTTAGAAGAAATCTGTTGAGCACCGCGAATTTGAGCGACAAATTACCCGGCGATACGGGCCGAATAAAGAAGTGAGAAATCACGAATAACGGAGCAATGAAAAAAAATCGCAAGCGAAGGCAAAATTGAAAAAAAAATTCATGAGCTCTACATCACCGTTTGGTAGTAGGGAATGTATATTCAAAATTTCGTTCAATCTGTTCAGTAGTTGGAAGAAATTCTTTGGATCACTGCGAATTTCGGCCCGCATCGCCATATAGCTCAAGCACGAAAGTGAAAATAAAAAAATTTTCACGAGCTAATCCTCACCGTTAGGTCCTAATGAATAGCATTCCGAGTTTCATCGAGCTGTGGTCATCAGTTTTTTAGACATTCTTTATTAATTGAATTTGAAGATTGGCCGTGAGACCGGCCGCGAGACCGGCCACGAGTCCGGTCGTAAATTTGTCCGAGACGTCCTGAATTTCTAGTGCTGGAACAGTTAAAACTGCTAAAAAATATATTGGTTTACTAAATGGGGTTCTATTTGTGGAATACACATTTGTGTTTAACCTTTCTCTTTTTATTGCACCATACTAAATATCAAGAAAAGGCGTATATTTTATACGAGTATGTTGGGGGGGGGGCCGCTAGAAATTCGCTGAGGAGCCAAAGGGGGCGCCAGCCTGAAAGTTTGGGAATCGCTGCGCCAGATTGTAGGTGACATGTGAGGCGGGGTGGCCTCACATGTTGGCGTCATCGCCACCCGTCGTTGAGGTCCAACCAATATGGTTCATGTTTCCAAGAAGTCTGCAAGCTTCTTTAGAAAAAAAATTATAAACTACATTTGTTTCATGTAGGAGTCCAGATTTTTGCATGACCGATTATTCTGGACAAGGTTTTTGAGTTTAGTAAATGAGTGGCTTGATTTTGTCATTTTCAGCTGTGCTCCGGATGTTTTATCGAACGATTTAATGCAGGACACTTTCATCTGCTATGTAGCCGCTGTTCATCTGATTTTGGTAATAGATGGTCGTAGTGTTTTCAGTTGATGCGGTTTCGTTGCTGGTATTCTTGCTCTCACCCAGATCTACAAATGCTTGAATATTTTGGAAAAAAAGTTTGTTGTTGGCATGTGCCGAACAGGAATCAGAACAAAAAAAAAACAAGTTAAATTTACGTTAAACAGTTTAAATTATGTCCTACTTTGCAGCTACGGGGAGGCTGCCAGCTGGCAACCACGTATGGCCTTTCAAATTCGAGCTTCCACTGAACATCCCCTCTTCATTTGAAGGCGAAATTGGCTACATCCGCTACTGCATCAAGACCACGGCCAGGGTCTTCCTGGGGTTTAACAAGGAGGTAGAAGTTTACATAAGTGTTAACTGTCCCTTTGATCTCAACTCATCATCCTCGGCTCAGGTGAGTATACAACATTCTCCTTCCTACCAAATAAAATAGATGAACTATCGTTTAACCCTCTACCGCCTGACACGAGGAACCGGAGCAATATTGTCACAAGCCTACTTCCCACAACGGATTCGCTCTAGTGAGCGCAAAATGACTTGCACTAATGATTGCCGCCACGTACGACACCATTAAAATGTTCTCTATATTGCGCACAAACGGCCTCAGGTTTCCACACTCAATAGTTTACGTATAATTTAAGTTGAAAGTTATGTTCCCGGAGAGTGACATACGGTGGTAGAGGGTTAAGCTGAATCTGTCTCGCATGTTGAAAACAACAAACCGTAATGGATTTAACAGCACTTTTAACTTTAATCTTACCTATTACAGCCACCGCAAAAGAACTAGAAGTGAAGCTCCTCGATCACAAATTATTCCTTCCATTAATGCCATACGACCACTCAGTCTCAGATATCGTACCCCGTCCTGTCATACCTTGCGAGTTTACTTTGTCCTTCCCATGTGAGCACTCCATCTTATTCCGACATGTTTTTCCATGTTGCATAGTTGCGAGGGCGCAGCTACTGTTCACAACTTTCTTAATAACCGCGATAACCAAATTTATCTCGTTTTAAAACAAAATTGTCTTGTGCATGTACAGAAACAAACTATCAATAAACCTGATTCTGTCCCAAATAATTTTATTTCATCACTGAATTTCGGGGAATCATCAATAATATATCCGTGACGTTTACCTTTATTTTTGATATTGTGCTTCAAAAATATTTCAAATCGGAAGAACCGAGATATAAGTCCTAATTTCTCCAATGATGAACGTTTTTAAATCTTTGCTATACAAAGGTTATTCATACAGTACAAGCCTCAGTATTTCTTTTTATTCCTTGTTTTATTCACAATTTAAATTATATCTGTCGTCCAGGCACCGTTAGAGATCCGGACGTCGGGCACGTCGTGCTGTCTGAAGGGAATCGTTAACATCCTCCTCATGGGTGAGCGATCAGGAGCGGCGGTGGGGGAGCCGTATAAAGTGAGGGGAGAGTATAGGACAAAGGGCTCGGTTATTAGGTCATGCTGTGGGGTTCTTGCTTGCTAGATCAATGTTCTCCCAGGTTATTACGGGCCTCGATGTTAATGTCAGTTCCTGAAGCCCCGTGATTTGGTTTTACAGAAAAAAACTATAAAGAATTAATTATCAAAAAAAGTCATTTTCTTGCTAATTTGTTTCGGAGACTTCCTTTTTTGACTGCAAATAGAAAACTATTCTTCCGCATCTTCGTCACCTCTTTACGTGCCATAAATTCATTTTTCAATACACTATATACTTTTGTAAAAACGTCAGACAATTTATGTCTGAAATCATATATATATATATATAAATGTTCAAAAATAGTGTTGGTTGCACATTAAGCGGAAAATTCAATTTCATAAATTTCACTACGACCCCCTTAAATTTGAACGTAATATTTTATCACCCATATGAAGCAAGTGATCTACACTTCGACATCCAAATCGACCACGAGAACAACCTGCGTGAAGACGTTTGAGAAGGGCCACGTGGCGCGAGGTGATAGCCTCTACTTCAATGACGAATTTTTCATCGTGCCTTCAGTCGTGGCTGGGCTTCAACACTGCAAGCTTATGAGCCTCAAATACTACCTGGAGGTAGGCTTACATTGACGGCAGCAGTTAGTGGGACGTATGCTCGAGGTGATTACGAAGGTTTCAGAATAGAACCGCATTCAAAATGTTAGATCTGGAGACTATGTGTAAATCATGAATCTCAGAAACAATTTCTGCAACAGTAACTGATGAAAAATCAATCTTTTTTCCTCAGGTAGTAGCAACTTTCCGATGCTGCAGTAAGGTCTCGGGTAAAGCAGACTTTTACGTTGGTACAGTGCCGTTCAAGTTGGAGGCGGACTCCGCTCCTCAAAATCCTTCTCATTCAAGGGATCCAGGTATCCAGATCAGTCACGATATCCTGTTTATGACGCGGTCTTACTTCTTCTATCCCCATGTTATCCATCTGCCTCAGTTCTCATACTCTTCCATGCGCTCCATAAGATGTTTTCGTATTTTCGGAGCATTTAATAGTTACTCACACACTTAGTTCATGAAGCCAATAAACGTCTTGGACTGATCAGACGCTCTTACTAGTACATAGATGCTGAAGCGCTGAAGCTGTTGTTTGTCGCTGTCGTGCGTTCGAACCTAGAGTTTGGAAACGCCGTGTGGTTACGAAAACTAGAAAAGGACAAAAATTTAGTCGAGAGCTTTCAAATACGTGCAACGAGGATAATTCCGGGACTAAAAGGCAAGCCTCATGAAGAAATATTAAATATTATGAAGCTTCCAAGCCTCTGTTTTCGACGTCTGCGTGGAGACCTCATTGAAGTATACAAGTATACTCATGGTTTAAACAAGGTCCCAGAAGGATTACTGGAATTTGGAACAAAAATCAACGCGAGGGGACACGGCTATCAACTAAAAAAATAGCCGTGTAGCACATCTAAAAAATGCTGCGTTGTAACACATCCATGCGACAACATTTGTTCTCACTCCGAGTCACCGACATGTCGAACAGCCTCCCGCATGATGGCATCGTTGACGCTCCGAGTATGAACGCCTTCAAGAACAGACTAGAGAACGCCATGCAGGAGCATATGTTCAGTCTTGAAAGTCACGAAAAGTACTATAATCGCCAACAGGCCATGGGCCTATTTCTTCAGTGCCAAACTTTGAGTGTCGACACTTCTATTCTATTCTATTTCAATTTTAAAAATGGACGTTCACATCTGGGCTTCAGATATTTATCCTGCTCTATATTTTTTCCTTTGATGAATATTTTTCCCAAGAAATCTGCGCAACTATACCTCCATACAAGTCTCAATTGACTTAGAAATCACTCAATAGACATTGGAAAGTTCAAATTGAGATTCATGTTTTAAGTGCGTTCTTTTGTCATTGGAATTAATCAGACTCGCGTTTTTTCCTCCAGGCCAGCTATCAATTTTGATTCTTTTCAATCTGACCTGAAATTTTCAGGTCCTCCATCAACGCAGACCTGTTTTTGCTGCCTGGAAGGTCGCCGTCGCTTGGATACTAAGTCCCCACCACCTTCCTACTTGTCGTACATAAGTCGTTTTTAAAACCTAAACCAATCTTATGTATAACATGGTGAGATTTTTGAGGCTTATTTTGCGGATATACAATTTTAATTCAGAGCAAATAATATCCATGCAAAATATAGCTAAACGACATTTTCTGACTATATGTTGGAACTACCGGAACTGAATCTCGATAATAACAGCGTGTTCAAAAGGTGCTCAAAATCTTCTTGAGCGTAAATTTTACTTCACAAAAAAATAATAACAAAAGGTTTAAATATTGATAGCTTTACTAACAGTTAGTCTACATTTTTTATCTAACGGCATGAACGTGACCGAGGTGATCTGACAACAATATGATATATTTATACGATTGCAATTATCATTTTTCTTTACTTTGATACCGCAATTTTCAGAGTACGACAACTCTGTTCTTGAGGCTTGAGAGTGAAGAATACTGTGAGGGCGCAGCTACCGCTAATGAAGCAGAGGAGAAGGTGGAAAGAGGCTTCTGCCAAGAACACGTAACAATTTCATCGCATGTAGGTTGGCGATTAACTGAAATCCTAAAACGTTTGGCCAGGAAAAATTCATCATTCACTTTCGTTACAGTTCGGCGCTGGCAAAAAGTTTATACCACGTATTATAGGGCGTGGCAACAATTGACAGAAATCCAGATTGTTTATATTCTGCCCTCTCAGACCTTCATACATCACAGTCGAATACTATCTGAACAAGAGTAAGATTTATCGTCTCTACATCTAACCTAATATGGCCGAAATAGTCACATATATTTTATAACTTATGAGAAAGTGAGGAGTAACCTCACAGGCAATTGTCTCTAATTACTCGCCCACCAAGCACTACTCTTTATTTCTGATCAACAAGTATTTTGCTACTTATTTACACAAAATGGCTAAAATAGAAAGTAGAAGTAGTATAAAGAGGTGTACTAGGAAGTCACTCGCACATATGCACATTTCCGAGTAGACAGACTGGTTTCTCTTTAATTAAATGGCCCCTGTAGTGGAAATACCACCATAAACAATATCACAACCACATTTAAGAGACGCTATCAAAGTTGTCGTGGAATTAAACTTGTGTTCGCACGGTGAAAGAAACAAATTTGATCATTTAATTTTATTTTCTTTGGGAAAAATAGACGATACGATTGATTATGGATAAATTATGAAGAGGAAATTTATAATAAATCATGTCTTGAACGAAGTCTGTGACAACTTGCATTTGGGCAATATTTTACATTTTACTGCATTTCTCCCACTTCACTGAGTGCTCGTTTTCGATCATCAGGCCTGCTACAATATTTCTCAATTATACCTAAACTGTCGCAAATACCCACGATGCTTTCCAAACTTGAGATATGTATATGTTGGTTTCCACCTTTGGCAGTGATGACAGTAGTAACAGATTTGTGGGTTCAAACATTTCTGAATTACTTAAGGGGTGCGTCTTGGTCAAAATACAACTTTTTTATCTACCGTCGGATTATTTTGAAACTTGGTACACATATGTAAAACGACATATGATATGTACACATCTAGGACCTTTTTGTTTGCGTAAATTTTTCGAAAAAATGAAAGAAAATGTGAAATTCGTAGAAAACAGTAATAAAAAGATACTGTTGAAAATTATCTCCTACAATCAAAGTGCTACAACATCGAGAGACATATAATTTAATTCGTAATAACAAAATCCGGCGATTAAATTTAATATTTGATTTTTTTTAATTAATTTTGCTTGCGTGGGGGGGGGGGGGCGGGTTTCGGGTGTTGCTCGATTTTCGCCTCCCCCATTTTTGTAAAATATAATCCAAACTATAACGAAATCGAAAAATCAACCGGTGAATCGCTAGATCTTGATTTTACGAATCGAACGGTATATCTTTCAATGCTGTAGCTTGAAAATCATAGTAGGAAATTGGCTCCCCAAGCAGAGGAGCCACAATTATTTTTAATTATCCAGGGAGCTAAATACGTAAAATTTATTGGAAAAAGAAGAAAATGCTAAAAAAATTGCTTGATACTGCAGCCCCAGCTTTCCCATTGCCAATTATTCGTATTAAGGATACCATCACGTATCCAAGGACTTACCCTTGTCCAGTTTCACGCGAGTAATAAGCTATAAATGCTATTTTTCTAATATATTCATTTATATAAGATGGTCATTTTCGCGCATTTTCTCATTTATGGAAAAAAAGGCGCTATTGTGCTCGTTATGTCCGTCCGTCCGTCTGTCTGTCCGTACGTGACTATCACGTTTTCGTCGACGAGAAAATACGCTCGCTGTCACTCAGTGCAGTGCATGAGTACTGAGTAATATTTTATATATGTTCTAAACGGCCTTACGCAAAAAAAAGTTAAAAGTGAATAATAATCCATAAATTTAATTTTTCAATGCAATCTTTGTACAATTTGTTGATATATGTTCAGTTTATATAATTTTGAAATGGCCTCACGTAAAAACATAGGGCACGCACATGCATGCGGTTTGCTGCGCTAGAAGTGCCTCTCACTGAAACAAATCGCTGTGTTAAAACTACGCACCGAAGTGTCTATCCCGGCTTGTCCTAAAATGAGTTGGCACAGGCGCGTAAAACGCCACTCAGCCAGCCGGCGAGGCTACTTTCAGCGCTTATTTGAAGCTACTTTCAGTGATGGGGATTCAACGGAATCAGCACCGCGGCCAATTAAGTCTATTAAGCTCTATTAATATTCAAGAAGTGCAATCTTACATAGAGTTGATTCAATTCTAAATTCAGCACGAAGGATTCATGTAGAGATAATTCACGTCATCGAAGGACACTTTAGCACCGTCTGTCTTTACATGAGTTGCATTTTTGTTTCGTAGTAAGGTAATCCTTATGATTGATCATTTCAGCAACACGTCGTTATAATTGATTGATAATTGCCTTTACGGATGATCTAGTCTTCCAGAAGAAAAGTGACAAAGGAATTGGTATAAATTCACGTGAATGACGGTTACCTCATTCGTCTCTTGTCCGGTGCTATCTGACTTCTTCCGCTCGTATCTCTCTTTTTGTGAAAAACTATAAACGACGCGAGAACTATCGCACACAGGTGCAGAACCCCACAAAACGCAAAGTTCACCTTCTACAAAATATGAGCATGATAATCCTGAATTAAACAATTTGCTATGAATGAAAATAATCTGAATAATTGAGTATTACAAAAAACCCTAGTAAGTTTTACTTTAACAATTTCGATTAATAAATATTCTCTATAACTGGAGTCTATACCATTACAACAACCCAGGAGTCTGACATTCATCGGGAAGTTGCTGTAACTGGTTTGTAACAGGAAGGGTTGTCTTTACTAAAGAGCAAGTACCCTAAGGAAAATTATCACATTTTTTATTAGACTTTAGGCGGAGTGCGTCGTTACCTGCGTTTGGTACCTGACGACCTCAATTTTTGGGAGGATAGTGGCACTAGAGCGCTATAATTACCCTATCAAAATTTTGAGTTGGTGGCGACCCTAAATTAGGAACCGCCTAGGACTCGGACCGCACGTAAACCAGTTTCTTTATGTC